TTCTGGGAACTTAAAAAATCACAAATCTTTAAGTGTATATTAATTTCCTTCCTGAAAAGCAATTTGGTTTTTTATTTAAGTGTTGCAAAAAAAGCTCAACAATTGTCTGTGGTGGATTGAGGCCAGACAGTAGATAATTCATTTAACATTGGTATCTTCCTTTAAATAGGAGGAAAGCCAAACCTGCTGAAGCATTTATTGTAAGGAGACAACAAAACTCTCTATAGATGCATTTTTGGATGTGTATTAGATAATCACACAAAGAAAGAATGAAAAAAGTGTTTGAGAGACAAATTGTAGAGACACTTTTCAGAGAAGTTTATGGATACAAGTAAGAAGTACATGTTACTTTCTGTATCATCTTTTAGTCTTAAGATTATAAAAGCAGATCCTTGGAATGAGATCCTGGCATCCTGTGAGAAATATGGAGTTTTGAGTATTGGTCTAATCAAGTTAGGACATTTGCCCACAAAAAGTCTTCAAGAGAGGAGCTAAAAACTAGACAAAACTTACAAGCACAGCTCAAAGAATGGAAATATTAGGTCAGCATTGGCTGCTTTTGATAATCAAAAGACTTTTTCTTAAACTAGATTCTGAAGTTCTTTAAACAGGAACTGTAGTTTGACCTTAGTGGAAAAGCAATACTTTGTGCTAGCTCTATATTTTTAAGCAATATTATATAAAAATTTGGTAATATTGAGGATCAGGTTAAGTGTAAAATATCTTTGCATTGCAAGTTGTTTGCAATTTCAGTGGGGATTTTGGGGTTTGGGGTTTTTCTGTTGTTATTTGGAGTTGAATAGTATTTTTTTTCCTTTTTACTTGAATTTGATTTTACTGATTAATTCTCCATGCTCTGTTAGTTGCAGCACTGAATTTCTGAGTCCAAATGCATGTTGCTAAGGATGTAATCTTGTATTTTGGTAGAGAAAATCCAACTCTGGGCACCTAATATTGTTAAAATAATTAGATGTCTTAGATAAGATAAGAATAGACTGATGTCCTGGTTCGTTCAGGAGTGTCACACTGGATTCTACAGAGCTTGAAGCTTCAGGATACTGCTGGCAGGATAGAAGTGGGCATATCTGCAGAGCTCAAATACAGTTAATGGCTAAGGGGCTCCTTGGACTATAAAATTATGTATCCCCAATATTTTTACATGTGAATCAAGTCCTGTTTCATTCAGAAATTAAAAAAATTGAACACGTTTCTGCACAACTAGAGCACTTTTTTCTTTTTTTTCCTTTTTTTTTTTTTTTTTTTTTTTTTTTTTTTTTTTTTTTTTAATTAACATTATCTCTCTTACTTCCACAGAACATGCACTGGGAAACAAGGGATGTTTTTTTCTCAAAATGTTTTTTTCTTTTTAACTACAATAGTTCCACTGTGTTAGTCACGGGTTCTTGTGTTGCGTTTTCATCTTATTTGAAATTTAACTTCTGGGACAAAAAGGTAAAGAAAAGAACAGTACACAGACTCACAACTCGTGGTGGGAATGAATCTGGGCAGATAAACTGTGTTGTTGTGTCAGAGCCATTTCATGCTGGATTTATGTTCTACAAACGGATAAGTGACAAAAAAAATTTTGATGTGTACTACATGTTTGCCCAGAAGACATGAGATAAACTCTGTAGACATTAACTTGAAGGGTAGTTCATAACAGATTTTCCTGTTACTCTTGTGAAAATTTTTGCTCTGCAATGCATAATTTTTCTGTTTCTTTGCTTGTCAAGGAATTTCTTGGGTTTATGTTGCATCAATGCATTCTACCACTGTTATAGTATAAAAAAAGATGATAGGATGCAGTAGTATATTTAGATATATAAAAGCAGACCCTTATATTTACACAAATCCATACTTAGCTTGCAGAGGGATGTTTAAATTTCAGTCTTACTGTTCAGAACTTGACTTTCTTTTCTTTGTTCCTGTTTCCTTCTGAGAAGTTCTCTCTGCCTTATTTTACTTATGTAATGGAAGGTGATAATAAGAGTTCTTTCTGCTGTAAACTGTCATTCTTGGAATTAATTTTGGTACAGATGGGATTTGTCTACCTTTATTCTGAAATTTTCCAGAGTTCTTATATGCTGTATCCTGGAGGGGATGTGTGCGATCTGGCAGTTACTAGAGTTCAACTGTACACTCCAACTTCTAGAAATTTTTTTTTAATCCTTACTATTTCAAGGATTTAATATCTTTGTTTTAAGGTTTTTTTTGGGGGGGGGATGGGGTTGTGTTGTTTGTTTGGTTTGGGTTTTTTTGAGTAAAAATGGAAATTTAAATGCAACATGATACTGGACTTAGAATGTTGGATAAATTAGTTATTTTCAATACTTTTGGAGAAAAAGTATTGTAATGTATTTTCAAAGATGCTTGAAAGTTCTCTGAACAATGCTTGTTTGCATGTTTGCTGGTTTTAGGAGAAGTAAAACTGCATATGAATATTTATGAATTTTGCATTACACAACTCAGCTTACTGTATGAGCAGTGAAAGCTGGAGTGCTTTTTCATTTTTATGGTGGGTTTGCTTTTATTATTTACCTTTTACTACTGGCACATAAGTGAGGGACTGATTTGACTGAATAAAGACTCACTGGCTTCAGTAGTGACTTCCACTTTTTTTGCAGTTATTACGTGACTCATATGCCTAAAAATAGTCTTAGTTTGAAATCAGTAGTATCAACACCAAAATATTGAAAGCAGGAGGTAGAAATGAAAGTTCCTGTGGCACAATGGCCACATCTGGTTTAATTTCAGATCTATGGGGTTGCCTCCTCCAGAACATGATAGATCTCCCAGAAGGAGCCTAAGCAATGGCACAGGTTTTTATTCATGCACCAAAGTTAATTAGCAACATTACTGATTACTTTATGTACATCCTGGGAGGCTGTGAAGGACAGAGATCAGTTTTTAAATGTGTCCCAGTGCTACTTCCTGTGGTATCTGCTGTAGTTATGTGTAGCTTATAACTACAGTTGTTCACCCGGGTACTGAATTAAATGCAGTTTTCAGTTTTGTCATATGAAAAACTTTTCTACCCAGTAAATGCACTGTTGGTTTCATGCCCTGTAAAAAAATCAGCAGAAAAAGGAGTCCTGAAGACTAGAAAAGATCTAGCAATGTAGAATCTAAAATCAGAATTCTGGGAGGTAGAGGAAAATGTCAAATAAACTGCATGAGTTCTTAAATACTTGTGAGTGGAAACCAAGCACCATTTTCTCTTTCAGCAAATGCTATTTCAGGATTGTTTTGGAGGATTTCTGATGTTATGGAAAATGCTCATAAAGGGAGATACGCAAGAGAGAATTTATTTCTCAGAGTCTCTTTTATGTTAAAAAATTGTGAAAAAATTGTGTATCAAACTTATGATTCTAGGTGTATAATATCACCTATACAGAGAATGCATATTTAAATCTAGAGTGTTTGAAAGGTCAGAGCTAAAAGATTCTCTGCAGATTTTTTGGGTTCAAAAGCTGTCATATAGAAGCTAAAGTTGAGCAATTTTGTCTCCTCCTACACTGGAAGGCAAAGCATAATACTGAAGAATTACACTTCACTCACTATGGTACTACCACGTAAACCCTGGAGGGAAAGAAAGTTAATTTCATTCTAGACTGTGTCAAGTTATATTTTTCTTGCATTCAGGTTATGAGCTAGCAAACTAGCCATCCTTATGATAATCGTCATCATTTTTATTATGATTATTTTATTACATTGACAAGAAAAAAGAAATAATTGTTAAAAAAAATTGGATGCTTTAGTTCTGGGGAGGACAAGCTGATAGTGGAGAATGGTTTTGTTTTTCTGTCCCTTCTCTGAGGTACGCTTTTTTCACTGTTCTCGCTCTGGCTGTTGTGCAGGTGGTTGACCAGATTGACACACTGACATGTGATCTGCAGCTGGAGGATGAGATGACAGACAGTTCCAAAACAGACACCCTGAACAGCAGCTCCAGCAGCACAACAGCCTCCAGCCTGGAGAAGGTCAAGGTGCGGGGCAGCGCGCCGCTCATCAAGCCGCCTGCGCAGCCCTGTGCCATCCTCACCGTGCTGCGGAAGCCGAACCCGCCCCCGCCTCCGCCCCGCCTGACGCCGCTCAAGTGTGACGAGCCGCCCCGGCCTCCCGCGGCCAACCCAGTCAAGACCAACGGCACTTTGCTGCGAAATGGGGGCCTGGCCGTCGGGCCCGGCCGCGTCCCGAATGGAGACGCGTGCTGTGTACCGAACAGCAGCTTGGAGAAGGTGGTGATGCCGCCGCTGGTGCACAGAGCTGAGAAGGAGCGGTGTCCCCAGGCCGGGGCGAGGGAGCGCGTTCGGTTCAGTGAGAAGGTGCAGTACCACGGCTATTGCCCCGACTGTGACGTTCGGTACAACATCAAAAACAGGGAGGTGCATTTGCACAGCGAGCCGGCCCGGGCTGCAGGAAAGCTGCCACCTCCTCCACCTCCATTGCCTCCATTTCTTCTGGAAAATGGAGGGTTGGGGATAAGTTCCAGTAATAGCTTTCCTCCTCCAAGACCTGCAACTGTGCCTACACAAACTGTACCAAAACCCCAGAAGACCATCTTGAGGAAATCAACCACTACAACAGTGTGAAGTATGCCCCTTGTAATAACTCTTTGTTTTTTCCTATATATAAGCGTAAATAGGTAATGAGCACTTTCTACTTGAGCAATAAAAAGACCCAATGTATTACACCTTCTGTCCAGTGAAGTGGCGTAAAAATCACATGGTAAGTACAAAGAGGAATACTTGTTGATCTTATTTATACTCAGCAATGTTAGGAATGAAACACTTGACTCAGCCAATATATCAAACAGAAATTCAACTTCCTAATTAATTTGGTAACATATGAGCAAAGACAGCACTGGGTACAGTGGTGAGGGCTTTCCCCTCTGACTGCACACCAGTTGTTGGGCTTGCTGGTATTTATCGATCATATTCATGCATATTCATAATCTTTTCCTAGGTTCTATGTGAGCTTTCAACAGTTTCCATTTCTACCTTTAACATCACAGTTCTATATTCCAGGGTGATGAATCTATGATGGTAATGTTTGGTTTCTTTCCAATTTCTATACCCTATTCTGTCCAGATGGCGGGATCCAACTTCTATTTTCTGGGATCATTAATCTATGGTAGTGATGTCCAGCTTCCCCTTTTGATGTCACTAATCAGCAATCTTGATGTCCATCTTTCTCCAGGAGCTTGAGATAGGGTCACTTCCCTTCCTGTTTTAATCCTTTGTACATTCTAAAGCTACAGTTTAAAATCCTTAGTAGTAAGCAACATTCTAAGGTTATAATTCAAAAATCCTTATTATCAACCAGCTTAAGACTTATCTTTTCTAGAAGAACAGTTTAATATCCTTAATACTAAGCAACATTCTAAAATTATAATTCAAAAGTTCTTATTACAGAACAACTTAAGACTTATAATTGTTATTTACACACAAAAGATTGGTTCAAAAGCCTTCTTTCATGCTTTCCTTGGCTGTTTATTAGAACTCATCTTTATAGCTATCCTATGGCCGTGTTCCACACATTTCATAACCACAGCTACGCAAGTTGCCTTTGTTTACCTGACATGAAACACAACTTTCTATTTCACACCAAAAATACCCTTACAGCAAAGGGTGCTGAAAAGATAATCATTATTTAGCACCAAAGTTATAAACATCTGTAGCAGTTTATTATTTGTAGTGTGGTTTAAAAGACAATGACAAGAAAGTTCAGTGTGAAAATGCTGCGTAGTGGTATGTGATAGGTTTCAGTCTATCTGACATAAGGGAATAACCATTTCTCTCCTGGATTTAGGGACTTTTCAAATGTCTTTTGATGAAGCCAAGTGGAGTACCAGGTAACAGCCTTTGACTGAATTCTAGCAAATGCTTTTTTTCTCATCATGAGTGCTTTGAGCAAACTCACTGTATGTGGTGGTTGCAGTAGGGAGTAATCACTGGATTCTCAGCAGCTTGGTCTTTGGTGGGGAAGTAAAAAGATAATGGAAATGTATGTTGGTGTGGCTCTAGAAAACTGAGTTTCATTTTGCTTTGCACTGTCTCAGTGCATCATTACCAATGTTTGAGATGAGCAGGATGGTCCCATTAAGTTCCCCTTTTTTCTCCATCTGCAAAATGGTAGTGATATTTTTTTTCACGGTGCAATGGCAGTAGGCTGAAAAAACAAAGCCCAGTCCTGTGTTTTTCACAAAGCTTTTGTCTGGTGCAAATCTTCTTTTTGAAGGCAAAGAAAATGTTGCTTAAGGCCTCCAGGGACATCCACAATTCATGTAAAGAGCTTTGAAGTTGAAAAGCTCTGTGCAATTATGAAGCATTAACATGCAAAATAAGATACTTTACATGTTACCACATTTTAATAGTGAACCCAATTAATATTCTTACTAGTTGAAAAAAAAAAGTCCTCAGTGTTTTTAATTATTTTATGAGAGAATATCCTTTTATTCCCACAAAGAGAATTGCAGGGACTTAGAGTTTAAAAAAACATCCAGTCAATTAATAAATCCGATACTAAGTCTGTTGTTTACAAAACTTGTGCCAAAATAATCTCAATGGCCAACAGTAAATACTATATTTAAAAAAGTCAGCATATTTCAGATGAAATATAGAAGGCACTTTATGACAAAAAAGAAAAATCCAGACAAAACAGGTTTTGAATTTTAATTTCTATTTACATCTAGTAATAGGTATTAAACAGATATTATGTTTCCCTGTATAGGTGTTCTAATATTTAAACCAAAATAATAAGAATAATTATAACAAAAGTCCCATCACATGACTACTGTTTGTAAACCTTTGCAGTAAGCAAATACTTTATTTCGTGCGAATACACATCCGGGGTCTAAAGCCTCATGAAGTATTCCCTGCATAAAAGGAAAGAAAGGAAATCCTAAATTCTTAATCATGTTTTCCCCTCATGCCTCCCATGTGTTTTTCATGATGAATTTTACATTTGGTATTGTTTGACTGTACTTAATCCCACAAGAGCTGTTGCCAAGTGCAGTAAGTCCAGGCACTTGCAGCAGGAGACAGTAACTTACCCTGCATCTGTGTGAGATCTCTGCTGCCCAAATCAGGATGATGGCAGGTGCATTCTGCTCATGTGCAGGAACGCCACAGCACCTCCCTTGCTCATACATTGAAAACTGCATTTGAAATCACTGGAACAATGTGCGGACATATCCACATTGGATATGTCCAATATGGATATGTCCATTGGTTATGTCCAATATGGATATGTCCCTTTTCTTTTAAAAAGAAAATTCCTGCTGTCCCTACTTTATCACTGCTTTACAGATCATACACTTGCTCTGAGCTAGTTTAGAATATTTTTAATTCTTAAGCAAGCTGCTGGTTACAAGAAATAAGATAATGCAAATCAAATATTGCACATAAAATACTAAAGGAAATAACACTGAGTAATTTTAGAGTGTTACAGTTTGGTGCATATGTGTTACCTCACGTGGGTTTGTTTTTTTGGTAAGAACTCACCTCTGATAGCAGAGCACTGCATTTCTCCTCTGGGCTTGTCAGTCTTGTGAACATGTGAGCACCTCCACACTGAATGTGCATTGATGTACATGGAAATTTCAGTTTTGTAAGAGTTATCAGCTGTGGGAAGCTTAAACAGCATCCAAGTTTCAGCAGTTAGTGTTCATTTTTGGTACCCAGTATCTTGCATCTCATACTTTGTCTTCTCCTTCAGAAGTGCTTTCTTGTCTCTTTCCCCTTACCTCCTGAATATCTTCATATGATATGGCTGTGCCATGAAGAGGTGCAGCTTTTCAAATGCAATGCTATCTCTGACCAGAAATGCAGCTTCAAAATGTGATGGAAAAACATTGTTTTTCTGCAAAGTTTGACAACCCAGGCTTTCTTTTATACAACATGTTCCAAGGTCTCTGTTAAATTATAGAACAAACATCGAATCAATTATGTTTTAATGAGAATGTCTCTGGTGTGTGTCCTGTTCTAAGGTATTTTTGTCAGAGTAATAATTTCACATTAATAATGTGTCAGCATAAAATTAAGGTTAAAACGGTAAACTTGCAAAATTTGGGAAACAATTAACTTTAAATTTTGGAGCACTGTTTGGAAACTGCTAATAGAAATGGTGTAACAACAAATGCAATAGTGTATTCAGCGAACAGTATTTTTTACATTTATATTCGGAATGTAAAGTCTTTGAAGCATTTTTGAACACCTACAAAACAGTATGTTTCACACTATACTGAGGAAAACCCAATAAACTGACCAGAACTGGACAGGAGTTGTCTGCATATGTATTGTAAATGTAATATTCTCTGAGATTACATTTAGTGTTTTGCAAATATGCTTCTACCTGAAAAAAAATGAAAGTCCAATAACAGTACTCAGAGCTTTAATTCAGTATTTGTCATCACATCAGTCTGCTGTCTAGCTTTAATTTCCTATGGTATTTTAAAATATAAACTGTCCAGATTTAGACTTCCCAAATGCAAATAGGAGAAGGTAGTTTCTATCAATTTAATGAAGGACACAACTTTAGCAAAAATAGAATAAAAAAATGAAAATTACTTAATTTGTAATAATGGCATTTATTAAAAAAGTTAACCCATGAATGCATTGCAAGAAAGGAAAACTAGGAGAGTAACATCCAATAACAATCCTTTTGAATGACATAAGGTAGGAATCTTCAAAAAGATAATGGATCTTTCTGCTACCTGGTAAGTCACTATTCTTGCTTCTGTCTTATTGTCTGGAGTTGCTACCTTTCATCACGTCGTCAATTTTTTCTTAGAAACAAGAAAAAATTCCAAATCTTCATTGATGTTTTTTATTATTAAATAAATATTTTATTTAAAATTAGATGTGAAATAAGTCAAGTATGCTACAGCTCTTTTATTAGCTTTCTCCAGATAATTTACTCATTGGTTTTGAAGCAGAGAGCAGTATGAATTCTTTAATGACCAGAGAGGTTTTTAGGTGGACGTTTGCTCAGATCTCTTTCTCTCCATATTCTAATTACGGCTTTCCTTTTAGTAACGCCACAAACAGTAATCTTATTTATGCATATAAAAATCTTACTGTGGTTGCTGTGTCACCTGTCTGATGTAGTCTTAAAGTGGGCATGAGTATTGGGCACAAATTTTTGCAGATGCAGCATTTCTCATGCTCTATTTGTATATGTACTGTGAGCCATGCTTTTTCAGGGGCAGTATGTGTGTGTTTAGAAGCAAAATACCTAACGACTGCTCAAACTAGTAATAATATTGAAAGCATTAATACTCACTAGTGCAGAAGGGTCTTGCAAGTGAGGTGTGCACAAAGGGATGTGGTAGAAATGTATATGGTTAACCTTGCTAAGCACAATCACTAGAATTCTCAATTTGAAAAAATATATGGCATCTGTTTCATAAACACATTGTATTTTGTAGGGGTATTTGGGATATATCTCATGCAATATTTACATGCTGCAGCCTAAAATTTCTGTATCTGTATTAGCACAGACCACAACTGAAGCAGCAGCAGCAACAACAGCTCTGGTGTTACTGGGTCAGTATGTTGTGGAGCAGTGCATGCAAACTGCAGTGCAGCCTCATCTTTGCTAGCAGTTTCATGTTGATGATTTTTAGTTGACAAAGTAGCAGGGATTTTATCTCAATCACCTGTTTTATGGTGGCTAATAGTCCAAAAGAGCAAGGTTCCCCATCAGCCGTAATTTTGTCAAGGGAT